ACTTGATACCACCACAGATCCCTGCCCCATTTCGACAGACTTTCAGAGTTGGGAAATAGCCAGCATTATAGATTAGCCCATGTGGGGTGGTGGCTAAGAGTACGTGTCTGGATCCAGCTTGCCTGGTTTGAATCCCAGATCTGCCTCTCACTGGCTGTGTCCCCTAGGGGAAGTCCCTGAAACTCTCTGGGCCACTGGTTAACTTAGATCACAGAAGGCCCTTTGTATTCAATCTCTCTTGATCTCAATCAGTCCCAATCTCCAGGCTATATAAATACATATGATAGATATATACTATTGGTTATAGGGGTTCACTGACTGCAAGAATTCACTATCAACTACTCCCACAAATATTTTGGGGGCATCTAATAAACACAAGGCCCTGGGGATTCAGAGATGAAAACCCTTGTCCTCAGTGAGCTCTGCTGGATTCTTTCCATAAAGCGCCAAGGTAGATGTCCCATCTGTGTGTGGTCATAGCATTCAAAATATGCCACTGTCTTACACCAGACGTTCAGGGAGAATATTCAGAGGAAGGTAAAGTTTGAGATGAGTCCCTGTATTAGCCAGGTCTCATTTGGTTCAGACAGAAATCCAACTCAAATAAGCCTAAGAGAAAAAGGAGAACTTATTGACTCATGTAACTGGGAAATTCAGGTGTTCACTTCAGATTCGGCTAGATCTAGGAGTCATAATATAATCGAGGTGCTCTCTTTTCCCTTTCAATTCTCTCAATTCTTTTTCCCTCTGACTCACTCTCTGTGACAGACAGGCTTTCTCACTGTGCCCAGGGAAGAGGGCTACATGCATGCCCTCCTGGCTTGGCCTCCTTAGTGGAAAAAAGAACTTGGCTTTCTAAATGTCCACAGACCAGTTCTGGGGGAGGGTTACGATTACCAGCAGATGAACAAATAAATGTGTTTCCCCTTTCCGAAAGAGTGCTCTTTTTGTTGAGTGCTGTATTAGCAGTACCTAGAACAGCACACAGTAAGTTCTCAGTAAATATTTGTTAGCTGAACGAACCAGCTACATTTTGGCCATGTGCCCACTTCATAGCTAGGGGGTGGGGTTTGCTACCTAAAGAAGTAGATTGATGGACAAATGTTCTCAGCGCTCCAAACCATTATTACCACTACAGGCCTGATCTGCGAGGAAGACTTGGCCAGGAGCAGAGGAGCGGAAACTTCCCAGGCGTGGGGAACAGTATGAGCAAAGGGATGCAGGCGGGAGGCTGTGGGGACTGTGGGTAACTTGGTATGTGTACGAGGGATACTGAACGACAGGAAGACGGTGGGAAATGGGCTTCTGGAGGATCTTGGGTTGGGATCTCTGATGTTGCCTTTTGTTCCTCCAGCCCCACCCTGGACTTTCTGCATCCTGCTGTCTGCCCTGGGAGGCGGCCCAGCACAGGCTGTGCGAATGGTCTCCCCTGCTGTCTAGTTTCTGGTTGGGTTTGGCCAGTGTGGGTTGGTAAGAGGTGGGAGGGAGGGAGGAGGGTAAGGTTGGGGCGTTTCTTTCTCTGGCTCCCTCCCGGCGGGGCTATCTTGGCCCTGTGATGGGGTAAGAACAGAAATTGAGAGTAGGAGTTAATTTGACAGAGATATTTTATATCTGTTACCTGTTGAATCTAATAATAAAAGAATTGGGGCTTGTGTTTTTTTTTAACATCTTTATTGGAGTATAATTGCTTTACGATGGTGTGTTAGTTTCTGCTTTATAACAAAGTGAATCAGTTATACATATACATATGTTCCCTTATCTCTTCCCTCTTGCGTCTCCCTCCCTCCCCACCTCCCTATCCCACCCCTCCAGGCGGTCACAAAGCACCAAGCTGATCTCCCTGTGGGGGCTTGTGTTTTCTGTGTTTTCATTTTTTCCCAATAATTTTTAATTGTATTTTGCAGAAGTACTAGTCTGAGAAGAATTAGATTTTTAAAAAATCAAACAAAATGAAAGCAAACCCCACAAATCTGGTCCTTCAGCACAGATGGCTGGAGAAGCCCCACTCTCTTTTTGGGTTCTGATGCCCTCTCCCTGCACCCATCCTGACGGGCACAAGGGTGGCAACAGCTCCCTGGCTACGAATCCCGAGGGACCTCAATGTGCCTGCGGTTTCCCCAACCTGGCCCACCTTTGTACATAAGCCCTTCGTGAATTAGCCTCACTTGACCGTGTCATCTGCTTTCTGTTGGGCTGCTGACTGACACAACGTAAACTCAAAGGGGTGCAGAGCCACTGAAGGAATTTACGCGTGAATGAGAGGAGACTGTAGCAGCTTGGGTGAGCCATGGATTGAGGAGAAGACTCCAGACAGGCTGACCAAGGCCAGGGCCAACTAACTTCAGCAAGGAAGGCTGAGGGCTTGAGTTAAGGCACTAAAGGAAGGAGAGGAGGGGAAAAATTCAGGAATATTTAGGATACTGTATGTCAGGCAAACAGAAACCACTATATAAATAGTGCAGGCAGAAAGGAATTGGAAAGTGCAGAGGCTGGCAAACTATGACCTGTGAGCCAAATTCAGCCCACTGCCTGTTTTTATAAATAAAGAACACAGCCATCCTCCTCCATTTCTGTATTGTCTAGGGCTGCTTTTGCACTACAGTGGCAGAGCTGAGTAGTTGTGACAGAGACTGAACGTGGCCCTCAAAGGCTAAAATATTGACTAGCTGGCCCTTTACAGAAAAAACTTTACCAACTCCTGGAACGTTGGGAAGTTGGTATGTATAGAACTCTAGGAATGGCTGGGGAAACAAACATCATGGGCAAGTACTGCTGGTTTTCAGGGGGTCAAGAGGCTACAGAAATTGCAGGAATACTGGCCCCATTGATCTCAGGATTTGCCCCATCAAATCAGGTGACTGCTTGCAAGCCTCATGTCTACGGACTGATATGCCAGCCATTTCCAAAGGGAAAGGGCTTCCCTTCCATCTTCAATCTGGAAGGGAGGTGCAAATGCCCCTCCCTCACTGGAAGAGTTTGGATGAAACCAGTTGTCTTTTCCCAGCTTTCGTCCTTGATACAGAGGTGAGTATAGGAGAGACAGGGATACAGAAGCCCAGGGCTTTGGGATGACTACATTGGGTGGGGGATAGGGAGGCTGGGATGACTGCCAGGCTTCGGTGACTGTGATGGATGACAGTGCTGCCACGGAGAGGGAGGGGGGTGGAAGAGAAGATTCTGGACAGGGAGAGAGGCACTGCCAGCAGGTTAGTTTCCCAAATCCCTGCCAACTGTGGGGTCTCAGCCAAGTTCTGCGATGGTTTTTTTTTTTTTTTTTTTTTTGCAGTACGCGGGCCTCTCACTGTTGTGGCCTCTCCCGTTGCGGAGCACAGGCTCCAGACGTGCAGGCTCAGCGGCCATGGCTCACGGGCCCAGCCGCTCCGTGACATGTGGGATCTTCCCGGACCGGGGCACGAACCTGTGTCCCCTGCATCGGCAGGCGGACTTGCAACCACTGCGCCACCAGGGAAGCCCCTGCGATGGGGTTTTACTTAGACTCCATCACTCAGTGATATTCATGGAGTGAAACCATAAAGTAGTTTTGACATAAGAAAATTGGATTTACAAGCCTGGGATTAACATATCTTTCCAAGCTTATAGGCTAAAGCAAGTTATAAGTATTCCTTTTAAAGGAGACGTTCCAGGAGATGGAAAACATTGACAATCTCTTTGGCCCAAGGGCCCTGTTGGCATGTGTAGTCCTGTGAATGGCAGAGAGGCCTGAAGAAAAGCAATGAGGTGAAAAGAGCAGAGTGGAGGGAGAGGTGGTGAGAGGCAGAGGGTGGAGAGGAGAGAAAGTGTTGCACCTGGGAGGACCTCATTAAAAAGGGCAGTGGTCACTTAATCCCCTGTATGGGGGCAATGGGAGGACGTGGGGAAAGGGACAAGTGCTGACCAGCCCTTGGCCTCTGCCCGCCCCTGTTTACTATCTCAGTGGTCAGTTAGGGCCCTTCCTCCCAGAGTAGATGACCTAGGTTGACTGGGGACCATCCCCTGAAATTTAACAAGATTGTGGCAGAAAACTCTCCCCACCTTAATTCTTCCTTATCTCAGCAAATGGAGGCCTTTTCACTCCAGCAAAGCTGATTTTATTGCTTACTTCCTCCAAATTGGTAATAGTCCAGCTTGTAAATCCATCCATACATCCTATGAACCCACTGTATATCTGACTAATTAGTGGTTGTCTTCTAAATGAGGAATGCCTTCTTATGGATGTTCTGTGCAAATACAATACTGTAGGTGCTTCAACATCAATAACTGTACAAACAATATAGTAATTTGAATGGTTGTGGTTAAAATGAAACTTTTCTAGAATCCAATTTATAAATCCAGGAAAAGGCTGTTATTTGTGACTAGGAACTATGTGTTCATTGTCAAAATTTCCAAAAGATTTTCAAGATTGCATAGCAAATGAGACACGGAACTGGGATTTGAATCACAGTCTGTTCTCACTGTGTCTGAGAAAAATTGTTGATACCAGGATTACTTTGGAAGGCTTCTCTTACTTCAGTGCTGTCATATTTCTTCTCAGGAGTAAAAGAAAAAGGAGCCATGCATTAGTCCAAGTTCTCTCATTTTCCAAGTAGCAAAAAAGCAATTTATTGGCTTATGTACTTAGAAGTTTAGGAAGGAGATCAGGCATGGCTGGATACAGAGGCTCAATTTCTTCCTCTCTTGTTCTTGCTCTGCGTTTCTTTGTGTTGGTTTCTTCCTCAGGTACACCACTTCACATGCTGACAAAGTGGGGCAGGGTCAGCCTTACCTCTGGTCTTTAGAGCCCACAGTCCCTCTTTTCTGTTAAAATGGCAAAAATCTGGGGAAAGGTGTGATGATCCAAGCTGAGTTTGTGACTTGTTGAACCAATCTTGGGGGAGAGGATTGGGTCAGCTCTCTGGGAGCCACTTGGGCTGAGAATGGGGGTGGTGATGGTGATTCTCCAATGAGATGCTGGGGTTAAAAACCTCTTTTTACTACAAGAATAAGAAGGTGGACACATCCTACCTTCTTCTCCATTGTCAACATTAGTCTACTTACTCACTCACTCAGTCTCTGGCTGGCTGCTGGGGTCCTCAGGTGGGTAAGTTGGGTTCCCCCGTTGGAGGAGCTTAGACACTCAGGGAGCCTGCGTTCTCAGGAATGGTCCTTTTGCACCGTCGCAAAGCATCCTCCCGACTAGGAAGGGGGACTGCAGCTCCTCCAGGATGCCCGCTGACACCAGGGATTCCTGCCAGGACCTGCCAACAAGAGCCCTTTCAGCTTTCCAGGGTCTCTCAGTAGGCTCTGTGACAGAGCCAGTGAAGTCCTGGCCCGCGGAGAGGGAGTGGGGAAGGCGAGAGCGCGCCTGGCTGGGTCCCGGAGCCGGGCTGTGGGCGCCGCCTGCTGGAGAACTGGAGCGCCTGCGGATCTTCTTTTACAAATGGGGCCCAGTAAACGCTAGGTTTGAAGTAACGCCAAGCTGTGCGTGTTTACCACCTGCACCTGATTAACTGGCAGCCAGGTGAGCGCTGAGTAAAGGAGCCAGAATTCCGCGTCACTGGGAGCCTCTGCCCGTCTGTCCAGCCGCCTTCCCCACCACCTCACACGGCACAGGGACCACAGGGACGGCGCCGCGTTCCCTTTCCTTACCAGGTCCTGCGAGGTGAGTCGGGTCAGCCATAATCACAATCATAATCAAAATAATATTAATTGGTGGGGCTTCCCTGGTGGCGCAGTGGTTGAGAGTCCGCCTGCCAATGCAGGGGACACGGGTTCGTGCCCCGGTCTGGGAAGATCCCACATGCCGCGGAGTGGCTGGGCCCGTGAGCCATGGCCGCTGAGCCTGCGCGTCCAGAGCCTGTGCTCCGCAAAGGGAGAGGCCACAACAGTGAGAGGCCCGCGTACCGCAAAAAAAAAAAAAAAAAAAAAAAAAAAAAAAATTAATTGGTATAATTTTGAGTACTTTGAGGCAGGCACTTGGCTAGGGGCTTTGCATCCAGTTTCATACTTCATCTTCGTGATCACCATACGGGAGAGCATTTTACTTGTGTTTTATAAAGGACTGAGACTTAAATTAGAGAAGTAACTCGCCCAGCGCACGTGGCTAGGAAGAGACAAGGTCAGGCCAGAGCCACAAGAGGGCGCACCTCCTTTTTCAATACTGTCCTATGAGTCTTGCTTTTCCTTGGGGAAAACCCGCAGTGTATTTTGACAAATGTTAAGAACCCACATAAACACAGTATGTATGCATGTATGTATTTATGTATGTGTTTATTTACTGGAGGAAATGGACAGCATTGGGAATATGGGCTGTAGGTAGGATGAACACGTTTCTGGAACTGGAAATTAGACTACATCTGGTGTGACAGGAGGAAGAATTTTTGAATTTAGGAGTCTTCTACAATCTGGGATGTTGGTCATTGATACCATATGGGAGGAAACTGTAAAGCCACGAGAGGCCTTGGTGAGTTATGGCTGGCAATCCACACCGTGTGCATATGCATGCAAGCTGCACACTTACCTAGAGCGTCCTCTCAGGCTAGTGCTGGGTTCTCCCTTGCCCTGATAACACTTAGAATTAAAGTCTGGAGTAGCTGCTTTCCTCTGTCTGAGATAACCTAAAGGCATCAGTCTTCCTCTTTTTCTATTTCCCTCTCCCAATTTTCCCTTGCTCCCAACTCTTGGTCTGATTGAGGGGTGTCTAAATTACGTGTTCGTTACAGAGGAGAATATTGCTATTGGCCATTCCTGATTGCCTTGTTTCAATAGGCCATTTCTGATTGTAAGTAACCAATCTAGTTTCTAATTATCAATCGATTTAAAGTGATAGTTTTTAAACCTTCATTAAGGAAGTACATATCCACTGATTGCCCCCCACCAGACTTTAGGCTTCTGGAGGGCAAAGATCTATTTACTTTATGCAACGAAGCCTTACTATGTACTGTGTTGAGTCTTGATGCTGGGCAGCTGCATATCTGTGGTTCCCAAACCTGGTGGTAGAGTACAATCAACTTTTTTTTCTTTTTTCTTTTTAAAGTCTTTGCCTGGGGATTCTGTCTGGATCACTTTGGGCTGAAGCCTGGCAATTTGTGTTACATGAACAGGTGGCGCGCATCCCTGTGGCATCTACCTCTGCTGCACCAATATCTCCCCCGGCTCTTATTATGGCTTCATGGGGTGGGGTGGGGTGGAGGTTCCCTATGATGCTGGGAGAAGAGCTTGGGTCTCTTGGCAGGGGTTGAAATGGACTGCTGTCACACTACTGCCCCACACAAGAGTGGCCTTAAGGACTGTGATGAGGGAGATAATCCCAGTAGGCAGAGCTGTGAGTGGTACCCTTGTTTGTCCATTTCGCATGGAAGGAGAGGTGGCCTGAGGTAGTTACCATGGACTCCTGAGCAGTGGTAAATAATTTGGTTAGGTGTCTGGAAGGATTAGGAGTGGAAGATCCAAGACCAGGAGTCTGGGGAAGAAGCATGTGATTGAACTATGGGAGTGGGCAGGTCTTTATGTTGACCATCAATACCCAGCAGAGGGGTCACTCAACAACCAGGTAGTCAAGATGACTCGTCTGATGGATGTCTGTCAGCCTGTGCTCTTGGCCGTCCCGGTGCTCACACAATGGGCCCATGGATGGAGGAGCTACAGTAGCAGGGATAGAGGCTCTGCATGGGCTTCCTCTGCCCAAAGCTGGTCCAGTTATTGTCACTTCTGAATACCTGATGTGTTAACGGCAGAGATAAAAGATGAACTCTTGATATGGTACCATTTCTCAAGAAGTCCAGCCATACATTTGTCACCAAGTTGATGCCCTCAGGCCTTTATCACCCTATATGGGACAGTGATTCATCCTTTTTGGAAATGATCCCACCAGATATTCATTGGCCTTTCCTGCGCCTCCACTAATATCATCCCAGTGTTCACAGAGTGCTTGTTTACTGTCATGGGAGCCTACCTAACAGCTTTTCAGACCAGAAACCTCATTTTACAGTGAAGGAGGTGTGGTAATGGGCGTATGAGTATAGAATCCTCTAGGCTTACCATATCCCACATCACCTGGGAGTGAAATAGAAGGTTGGACTGGCCTATGGGGCCTTTTACCCCTCAGCTCGAATCAGCTGGCCATAGACATCCTTGAGCTAGGGCCTTCCAGGGCACGCAGGGACTCTGGGTGCTGGTGTTTCCATAGAGGAGGCCAGAGGCCAGATGAGTAGGAGTGCAGGTCTGGGAGGGTGTGATCAGGGGGACACTGGATGTCTAGGAGCAGGGGTAATGCGGGAGCATAATGGGGACAGAAGAGGGTGGCAAACAACCAAACAAAATCCAGAAACTGGTCTCTGGATCCCCCTTCTGGTGATTCTGACCAGTGAATCTGAGGGAGGACTTAGGAATCTATACTTTTAAAAGGCTCTTGAGTAAGTTGGGTGCTCTTCCAGGTTTGGGAAGCATATGGGGATGGAAAAAGGATGGAACGTGGAACAGAAAGAGGCAGGTGTGTGTCCTGGCTTCACCACTTGCCCAAGGTGACCGCCCTTCACGGAGAGTCACTGCCTTACTGGTTTATACTCTTCTCATTTATAAAATTGGGCTTATGATATCAAATGGGATAATAGTGTGTGAACCATTATTACATGAGTTAATATACTTAAGGCATTAAGTGGCGTCTTAAGGTAAAGTGGTGTCTGATAAGCACAAGAGCGCTGTTAAAGCATTAGCCATTTTAATGTGAATTAATGTTATTGTTAAAAAGTCTGGGACACAGAAAAGGGTCTGTCTGATGAGGGCCAAAGACATACCTGAATTCTTCCTGCTTGTTAGCTCTTCCAGAACCCAGCCCTGAGGGCCAGAACTACCATGTCTTTCCTCCAGTTTTTGGGGGAAATCATTTCAAACTTACAAAAAGGTTGCAAACATAAAATAGTGCAAGTAGCACCTATATACCCTTTACTGAGATTCACCCTTTGGAACATTTTACTCCGGTTTACTGTATCATTCATGATCTTTATCCTTCTCGCTCTCTAAATATATGGAATCTTTGTACGTACATATTTATATACATACATTTATATACATGCATACATATACATATATTTATACATACTATATATATGTGTGTATATACATTTCTTTTCTGAATAATTTAAGGGTAAGTTACATGCATCATGGCCTTTAACTCTAAATACTATATTACACTAAATACTGAACTACAATATTAGGTGTACTGCAATAGGGACAGTCTCTTATGTAACCACAGTACAATTATCAACCTCACAAATTTACAGTGATACAGTATTTTAAGTAAACCATCATTGAAAATATTATTTATTTAGTCCCAATTTGAAGCCTCTGAACTGCCATTTCTTCATAATAGAAAATGTAATAATAATATTAAAAAATGGCAACAATAAAGATAATTGCCCCCCCCAAGTACTATGAGGATAAAATGAGATAATGTTCTCCAAAGTGCTTTGTAATCCAAAAAGAGCTATCATTATACTGCATGTTGCTAAATACCAGTTATTATCACTGCCGTTTTCATGGGGGCTTTCCCCTTGTATGTTAAAGAGAGTTTATGTGATGTCAGTCTTCATTTCAGACAGTGTGTAGACACAGCCTTAACATTTCCTCCTAATTTCTTGGGGGAGACAACTAACTTGAAGTGAGGATCTACCATGTTCCAGGTGTTTTACATATATCACCTTATTGTAACTAAAAACAAAACCTTATATAGAATCATTTTTCCTCTTTTTTTCCCCTGAACTACTTAATAAGAGCAAGCTGTGGATATGATGCCTCAACACCTCTAAATACTACAGTGGATCTTCCCCCTCCAAACAGCACTTTCCTAAATAACCATCGTACAATCCTCCAACTTAAAAAAAAAAAAAAATCAACACTGATACATTTACACCCAAGTTTTTCCAACTATCCCAACAATGCCATTTTTGCTGTTCTGGTCTGGGATCCAGACCCGGATCTGGGTCTCTTAGTTATCTGGGTCTCTTACTTATCATGTCTCTTAGTCTCCTTCAGTCTGGAATAATTCCTCAGTATTTCACTGTCTTGAATGACCTAGAAAGATTTACAGAGCACTGACCTTTCATTTTGGCGGCTGGCCTTCAACCTGGGTCTGTCTGATGTGTTCCCATGGCCACTGAGGCCATGCATTCTTGGCAGTAATTCCACAGACATGATGCTCTGCTCCACTTGGTGCATCACGTTAGCAGGTACCTGATGAGAACTCTTTCCACCACCGGTGATATTCACCTTGACCACCTTTCAAATGTCTTCTGTCAGATTTCTCCACCATAAAGCCACCATTTCCCCCCATTGTGATTAGTAAGTATTTTTGTGGGGAGATATTTTGAAATTACGCCAATATCCTATTTCTCATCAAACCTTTACTCACAGTCTTTGCAATTACTGATGACACCCTCCACAATGGTTGCCAAGTGGTGGTTTTCTATTTTCATCATTCCTGCTGCATTTATTAGTTGGCATTTTACTGTAAGGAAGAGCTTTCCCTTTCCCTCCTTTCCTTCCTTCCTTCCTTCCATCCATCCATCCAGCTTTGAGGTCTCATGGGTTCTCATTTTATTTAATGGGCTGTAAACCCCATTATTATCATTTGCTCTAAAGCTCACATTTCCCAAGTTTGGCTGG